TTATCTTCTGCTTGAGGATCTTTTACAGCCTTCAGAACTCTATATTGAGTTCAATAATTCTACACCATGAACACCACCTTCCATATCTTTTACCCACACTTCAGAACCAGTCATGCCATGGTTTGCTTTCAGCACAGCCAATTGATTTTTCACCCACTCATAGTCCCTATTGTTCCCTATTCAGCTTCTCTTCCCTGGCTTGCTATCAGCAATCCCTATGTCTGCCTAACCTTTTTTCCTCTCTCTGGGCTCTCTCTTCCCCTATTTGCTCACTCTGCTGCAAATTGTGGTCCCAGCACATTGACATACTTTCATATTCTGCACTCTGTTTTAGAAACCTAAACATAGGAGCAGCATCGGCCTTAGAGCCTGCTCTGCCATTTCAATATAATCACTGCTGATCATCCAACTCAGTATGCCGTTTCCACTTTCACGCTATACCCTTTGATTCCTTTAGCTCTAAGAAAGATGTATATCTCCTCCTTGAAAACATTCAATGCTTTGAACTCAATTGCTTTCAGTGGCAGGGAATTCCACGGCCTGACTGTTGAAGTGAAGAAATTTCTCCTCATCTTAGTCCTCAATAGCCTACCCTGAATCTTTAGACTGTGACTCTTGGTTTTGGACTGTCCAATTGTTGGGAATATCCCTACATGCATTTACCTTGTCTAGGCTTGCCAGCGGACGCCCAATGCTGTACAGCTGCTTTTCTTAGCTTCCGATGTTGTCATTCTTTGCCACTCTCAAGCAGGGTTTTGAGGGCACAAGCATATGATGCTAAACTATTGGACTGGCTGGAAGGTCAGTAACCAGAGTGCAAAAATTGAAGATAATTATCAACAGAACGCTGAGAATTTTTTGTTTAATGCACTGTTATGCTGTGGGATTCACTGCCACATCCATTAGTAACCTTTAAGAAAGGAATTGGATAAAGACTTGAAGAGAAATAGTTAAGGGTTTTAGGGAAACGACAAGGGAGTGAGACTAATTGCATAACTCTTACAAAGAGAAGTCTAGCATGTTGGGCCAAACGACGATAGATCACAGACCTGAAATATTAACTCTGTTTCTCCACAGTTGCTGCCTAACCAACTGAGTATTTCAAAATTCCACCTTTCTATTTGTTTCTTTCTTGTGCGGGCTGCATTATCACTTTATGTACTCTATGATCTTAAGTTCCATTTTAATAATTTTTTTAAGCAACCATGAAGTGAGTAATGCTGAAAGGACTAAAAGGACAGTATTGGTACATGAAGGCAGGTAGCAAAATCCAATATTGCTGTTTCAGGGCCTGTACAGTTCATTGTGAGTCTCCAACTTGGAGTATGGCTTTGAAGCTGGATTATTCAGTAACATCCTTTTGTATTCAGTAACATACTTTTGTTTTCAGCTTAGTCACCTTTTGTAGATTGATATTTGTGCTAGTATAAAATATTCAATAGTTCCCGATTTTAAATACAACATTACTGTGAGCAGGTTGACTAGTCAGTCTCAGTAATCAGACCTAACAAATAAAGTCAAAAGGATTTGTGCTGTATGTTGAAGGACCTTTCTGATGAAGGGTCTAGGCTTGAAACGTCAGCCTTCCTGCTCCTGTGATGCTGCTTGGCCTGCTGTGTTCATCCAGCTCTCCACCTTTGTTATCTCAGATTCTCCAGCATCTGCAGTTCCTACTATCTTTTGTGCTGTATGTTGTTGTACTTTCTATTTAGTGAGAGATGTGTATTAAATTGAACTTTTTAAGTATTAATAACATGAAAAATCAGTTACCATTAATTAAGGCGCTGTAATGCAAAAATCGTAAACACGTTCAGTTCACGAGTTATTAATCAATGTAGTGGTTGAAGAGGGAGCTTTATTTTCAACAGTACAATTTACTTAATATCAGAAATTGCCAACGTTATTATAAAATGTTGTTTAAAATTGGCAGACATTAATAGACATGGTCAAACTTTTCCTCATATGAACCAGGAGCTGGAGTGGGAAAAACTCGTTGGATTTTGTTTCACAAGCACTATTGCTGTCTAGTACCTTGCTTAAATGTCCATCCAGGCGGAAGTTTGAGCAACTGACTGATATCCCCACAGCTGTAAGGTCTAGTCTTTTAGTTGGACTCCATGTGTATTTTCAGGAGTCATTGAATCTGAGATTGCTGAGACAGTGTCCTTGCCACCTAGCTCGTTAAGGTTGGCTTACTCAGTACAAACTAGTAATTTAAAGTAGTACTGTCCTATTCTGATTGGCACCATGCCATTGCTCTTCCTCAGTAAGGGACTTCATGCAAATGACTGAACTTTATTCTTTGTGTTTCCTTAGAAAGCATGGTGCTGATTCCAAAACAAAAATACCACCCTCTTGGCCCATGTCCATGCAATTTAACTGCACAAGCTTGTGATGTGCGATGCTGTTGTGATGAGGTATTTCTCTATTCTCAAGTTATATAGCTGTGTATATGTTTTGACTTATTCTGTACAGAATGTGAATTTGAAGCATTTTGTATGATCAGTATGATCATTTTAGTATGATCATGCATGCAAGTAAAATTAATAGTTCTGCTTATTTAAATGGACGTGGTACCTATATTTCTTGATGTAATTGGATCTGTTGCTTATTCTTCATGCCTCTTCTGCGATGCATTAAGGAAGTAATTATTGGTCTTGTGGGTGATGTTGTTCCAGTTTTGCAGCTTCTTTGAAACTGGGAATTGTGCTATTTCCAGATTTATTTCAAGTTCATTGCTTTCAGGTCTGCAGCATTGTCTCTTGCTGTCTCAGTCTCATAATCTGCTGTAGCCTCACAACAGCTGTTGAAACCCTTTATAGCATCCATAACAGTAGCTGTCATTCATCTACTTTTAACATAAAAACACATCCCAAACTCCATTTCTGCATCATTTCCTTCATCCTCTAATATTTGTAAACTTGTTCAAAATCTATGCTCTCCATATCTTGCTCTGTTGGTTAATCACTCATAGTCTCAGTCACCTACACTGTCCTTCAACCCAATGGATTTGAAATATTCAAATCTCTGTCCAACTTTCCATCGTCTGCTGCAGTCCTTTGAGCCTGTGATTTGAAACTCTTCTATCCTTTTTATAGAACCATTAGTGGTGGAACTTTAATTTGCTTTATTTTTACCCTGAGGTTCACTATATGAAATCATCTCATTCTTGACTTCCTTCCACCGAGAGTCTCCCTTTCAACATTTATCTTCTTTGATCAGGTTTTTGGTCATATCTGTAATTTAGCCCTCTTGATTCATTGACCATTTTTGTTTAAACTTATTTCACTGAAGTTCCTGTTTTGTGCTTTAACATCTTTAAATGCTGACAGGCAATATGGGCAGAGCTCAGAAATAGGAAGGGTGCGGTAACAATGTTGGGGCTGTACTACAGGCCTCCCAACAGCGAGCATGAGATAGAGGTACAAATATGTAGACAGATTATGGAAAGATGTAGGAGCAACAGGGTGGTGGTGATGGGAGATTTTAATTTTCCCAACATTTGACTGGGATTCACTTAGTGTTAGGGGTTTAGATGGAGCAGAATTTGTAAGGAGCATCCAGGAGGGTTTTATAGAGCAGTATGTAAATAGTCCAACTCGGGAAGGGGCCATACTGGACCTGGTGTTGGGGAATGAGTCCGGCCAGGTGGTTGAAGTTTCAGTAGGGGATTACTTTGGGAATAGTGATCACAATTCCGTAAGTATTGTAAAAAAGACGAGAGTGGTCCTAAAGGAAGAGTGCTAAATTGGGGAAAGGCCAACTATAGCAAAATTCGGCAGGAGCTGGGAAACGTGGATTGGGAGCAGCTGTTTGAGGGTAAATCCACATTTGATATGTGGGAGGCTTTTAAAGAGAGGTTGATTAGAGTGCAGGATAGACCTGTCCCTGTGAAAATGAGGGATAGAAAGGGCAAGATTAGGGAACCATGGATGACAGGTGAAATTGTAAGACTAGCAAAGAGGAAAAAGGAAGCATGCATAAGGTCTAGGCAACTGAACACAGACGAAGCTTTGGAAGAATATCAGGAAAGTAGGACCAATCTGAAACGAGGAATTAAGAGGGCTAAAAGGGGTCATGAAATATCTTTAGCAAACAGGGTTAAGGAAAATCCCAAAGCCTTTTATTCGTACATAAGGAGCAAGAGGGTAACTAGAGAAAAGGTTGGCCCTCCTTAAATTATGCGAGGAGTCAGAGAAAATGAGTGAGATTCTTAATGAGTACTTTGCGTTGGTATTCACTGAGGAGAGGGACATGATGGATGTTGGGGTTAGGGATAGATGTTTGATTACTCTAGATCAAGTCGGCATAAGGAGGGGGGAATGTTGGGTATTCTAAAAGGCATTGGGGTGGACAAGTCCCCTCGTCCGGATGGGATCTCTCCCAGGTTGCTGAGGGAAGCAAGAGAGGAAATAGCTGGGGCCTTAACAGATATCTTGGCAGCATCCTTG